ACCACACCACCACCACCACCGTCATCATCACCAAAAGAATCATCGTCATCATCACATCATCATCACCATCATCGTCGTCCTCATCGTCATCGCCATCGCCATCGTCATCGTCATCGGCATCGTCGTCGTCCTCCGAATCATCAGATTCAGCTTCAGCATCAGCATCGGCACCATCAGCATCATCAGCAACAACATCATTAGCAGCAGCAGCAGCAGCAGCAGGATCGGCATTAGCACCAAAATCATGTTCGTTCTCATCCTTTTGATCCTCCTCCTCATCCTCCTCCATCAGCAGAAAATCATCCTGCTGCAGCGGATGGGGCGCCCAGTTTGCAAGTCGCCTGGCCGCTCGAGGAGGAGGGGGAGGAGAACGAGGAGGAGGAGGAGGAGGAGGAGGAGGACGAGCAGCAGTAGCAGCACAAGGGAGAGGGAAAGGGATGAGGGAGGTGAAGGGGGAGGAGGGACGTGAGAGGGAGAAGGGGGGCCCACGAGGCCCTTAAGAAGCCCCAAGCAGCTCTTCAGAGGAACCCAAGAGGCTCCGTAGAGATGCCCAAGAAGCCCTTCAGGGGGGCCCAGGGGCTCTCCAAGGGGGCCAGACGCTCTTCAGGGGGGCCAAGAGGCTCTTCAACGGTCACCCCCCCCCAGAAGCTCTTCAGGGAGCCCAAGAGGCTCTCCAGAGGCCACCCTGAAGCTCTTCAGAGGCCCCGAGCGGCTCTTCAGGGGGCCCAAAGAAGCTCACCAGATGCACCAACGGGCCCCTCAGAGGCCCCAAAACGCTCTTCACAGGGGCCCAGGAGGCTCTTCAGGGGACCCAGGAGGCCCTTCCGGAGAGCCCAAAAAGCTTTTCGGGTAGCCTTCAGGGGACCCAGAGCCCCAAGACGTTCTTCAGGGGGCCCAGGAGGCTCTTCAGGGGGGCCCAAGAGGCTCTTCAGGGAGCCTTCAGGGGGCCCACGAGGCTCTTCAGAGCCTGTTCGCCCGTTCTCAAAGATTCATACAGTCCGGAGAACCCTTGGCCGTACAAAAGCCCACCAGGCCGCACAAAAGCCCATCTGGCCGCGGCAGCACCTGATGTCTGGCAAGAATCCCCGCGACGCCCACGACGCCTCAACCGTGGACACCGCGCCGCTTCTGGGGGTCGGCGGAATGGCGTAGGCCTTTTCCGTATAGACGCGGATCTTGACTGAATTTAATGAGAGGCCGAACACTGACAACTCTTCCGAAATAGTGCTCAGCAGTCGAGCCACCGTTGCGGCAGAATGCGCATGCAGTAAAATGTAATAGGCGTGCTGCCTGTTGCTAAGCAGGTTGAAACCTCCAACGCCCAGACCGCACTGTCGAACTCGGACTTTGGATTTCTGGACTGCGTGTTCCACTCCGGCATTGAAAGGCGGCGATGCCAAAACGTCGATTTGCTTAATTGCCGCGTCATGTCAGAAGCTGCCTGCCGTTGGCGCCGTCCCACTGGGCACTGTAGATGTCTGACAACAGCCGCATGAGGTCCCTGCGCCGACAATGCCCGGAGCAACACACAATGTTCTGACCGTCGAAAATTATGGTGCAACCACTGATCACTGTCCGCAACACAAACCGCCACCTCCAAGATTGTGCGCAAAGATATTGTACAACGACTGATACGTCGTCCACGGAACGACCCCGGGGAATTCGTAATACCACTCATGAGGGTGCTCGTTCTCTGACACAGGTTGCAAGCCCGAGAAAAAGCTGCTCCGTCTGTAAAACAGGCTACCAGGGCAGGGGCACTGCAAATGCCTGAGATCAGCCGCAGCACAAGGCAAAACCGCACGGATGGCGAAACGCAGGGGCGAACAACAACAACAACAAAAAAAAACATCCCAGCGCGCGTGGGAGGGAAGGGCCACCAACCCGCCGAACACTGCGAGGCCATTTGGCACGACACCGCGCCCAGCAGGTGGTATACACCAGTGGAACGTCAGTCACATCCTCATTGCCCGAGCCGCTCAAGCACGGAGAAGGACAATAAGAAACAGACAGTAAAATACGCGCGCGGAGGAAGGCCGCTGGACCCAAACGTCGCCGACAGGAAGGGACGCAGAAAGGGAAGAGCACGGGATGATGAAAGGAAAGGCAGGAAAACAAAAGAAGAAGAAGAAGAAGAAGAAAAAGAGGAGCAGGACGAACGGGGCGAATAAAGAAACGAAGACGATGAAGGAGACTGTAAGGGGAGAGAGCACCGATCGTGAAGTGAGGACAAAAACCTACTCCGCGTCTTGAAAAATCAGGCCGTCGCGGAAAGAACGGCCGGGTCCCGCGACCCCATGTCTCTGCGGTATTTTCGGGGAGACGTAGGGCTTGGGTGAGGGACCCGGGTTGCCCCCACGGGGCCGTCCGGAAAATGGCGAAACCCAATCTGAAATTTGACACGAGCTCGCGGCGCAAACATCCCACGAAAATTGGACCGTCAAATCAAGGACGGGCTCGTCAAAACAAAAAATGTGCCAAACCGAATTCCGGCGAAGCCCAACATCAGACCTCACCTCCGAGTCTCCCACACCGATTCGCGGAGGCCCGGGGGGCCACCACCGGGGCCGAAGGCCCTTCGCGTGTCTTCACGGCGTCGGATGTCAGCGCATCGTGCGTGGCTGCTGCCCGTCTTCACGCGCTGACGGTGCAGGGTTGGTTTTCTCCCTGCACTCCACCGACATCCTGTCGGTCATGTACGGCCCCCTCGTCCGTGGCCGCACCTCAAGCAGGCTACTACCTGGTCGTGGATTGGGCTACCACCCCGGGCCTCTCCCGCATCACCCGGTGGCACAACGTTGCACATCGCCTTCGTGGTGTTCCTCTTCTTCCTGGGCCTCCTCCGCATCATCCGGTGGCACAACGTTGCTCATCGCATTCGTGGTGCTCTTCTCCCTCCTGGGCGTCGACTTGGTCAAGTGGCGCGTCCTCCTCCGCAGTGCTTGAGGCTGGTGTTCGCGACGTGCCGTTGACGGCTACACCATCTCCTTCGCTTTCCGTGTCTTCGCCCCCGGCCCCTGTCCGCGGCGTACATTCTCCTCTGCAAGCTCTTCGGCACCGCCTGCACCCCGGGCTCCGCCTGCTCCGGCCGCCTGGAAGAGGTTCGCTCTCGCCCCGCAGACCAACAAGTCTTTCACGGCGTTCCTTCCCAGGCGCTCTCCTCCACCGATCCTCTGGGGGCCTCGCTCGTCCAGTCTGCTCCCCCTGGCGGCTCACTTCGCGCGCCGCGCGCCCCGTGCTCGCCGACTGCACTGGGAGCGATCCCGACCGCAAGGTTGGCCCACGGCGCCAGGTGTCCCTGACCTTATGTCGGGCGTGTCCCCCCACAGGGGGATTTTCTACGAAAAACAAGAAATACTGAAAAAATACCCCCCAAAGGCCAAAAAATATTCAAAAAATAATCCCCAGACTATGTTTGGACTATTTTGGGACTATTTGTGGGGTATTTTCTTGTTGTTCGTCGAAAACCCCCCTGTAAGGGGAACAGGCCCGACTTAACCCTGGCCTTGCTGCCGCACCCCGGCGCTGGGGCCCCCCGCCGGCGCCTCCGGCGCCGCCCCCCGGCGCGCCCCGCGCGCCAGGGAGGGGAGGCCCAGCGCCGATCCGAGAAATCCGCGCGGACCTCCGAGTTTTTGTGCCTGTGACCCTTTTTGCTCCCCTACCCCAGGCCCGTGCCCAGGAGGAGGAGGAGGAGGAGGAGGAGGAGGAGGAGGAGGAGGAGGAGGAGGAGGCGTGGGAGTAGGAGGAGGCTCCCTCCCTGCGGGTCTGCCCCTCGTCGCCAGTGGTCTGCCGGCGCCCCTCGTCGCCTCGGGCCTGCCGGCGCTCCCCGTCGCCACCGGCGCTCCTCGTCGCCGCTTGGACGCGAAGGAGCGGGGTGCGCGACGGGTGGGCCAGGCCGACGAATCCAGCCCTCCAGCTGGCCATCGCTCGGACGTCCATTCCCTGTGCTTTTTGTCGGTTTCGTGCGTGGTTTTTTAGCCAAATGATCGAGGATGCTCCTCGATGGTCCTCGCCGAAGGGAAAATGCACACGTCCGAGCGATGCCAAGCCAGCGTCCCGCAGGCTGCGGGCGGAGACAGCCTCCCCCGAGGAGCCAGGGCGAAGGCACTCTCTCCCCGTGCCGAGGAGGCAGTGGAGCGCAGGAAAATGGCCACACCAACTATGAAGGGGCCCTGGGACACAGAAATGAATACACACAAACAAAAAGATCCCCCATAGTTTCCCATATCTTCTGGGTTTCTGTTTTTCCCCCCCACCTCCCATATTTTCCCATATTTTCCTGGGAATCGACGATGAATTGTGTCTGTGTGCTTTTTCCCCTCCTGAGACTTCTTCGGCGGCAGCACCGGGAGGCCCGCCGCGGCCGAAGCCACGGCGGGCTGCACAGCGGCGAGGCGCGCCTTCGAGGGCGGGCATAATTATGTAGCAGAGGCGGCCGCGGAGGGAAGAGCACGGAGGGAGCAGCCACAGACAGCCCCCTCCTCCTCCTCCTCCTCCTCCTCCCCTCCTCCTCCCCCCTCCTCCTCCCCCTCCTTCTCCTCCTCCTCCCCCTCCTCCTCCTCCTCCTCCTCCTCCTCCTCCCCTCCTCCTCCTCCTCCTCCTCCTCCTCCTCCTCCCCCTCCTCCTCCTTTTCCTTCTCCTCCTCCTCCTACTCCTCCTCGTCCTCGTCCTCGCCACAGACTTGTCTGCTCGGCGCGGCGGAACAGACCCGCCGCATTCGAGCGAGCGCGGGGGGGCGCCACGGCGGGCGAACTGGGGCACCGAGGGCGAGGAGGCGGCGCAGAGTGGCCACAGCAGCGGGCAGAAAATACACCCTCAGAATATAATCACCCCGACAAGCGAAGCCGTCTAGCAAGCGCACCCAGGGAAGGAATCGAAGAGGGCAGGGCCTCTCATGGACGCCCAGGGCCGTCTAGCAAACGCCGATTGTCCGGCCCCGATGGTTCTTCCTCCCTCGACGCAGACACGCACGCGGCGAGGCACCGATCGGCAGCCGTCGCCTCCACGATCTCGCCGCTCGCCCGCTGCTGCAGCGCGGCCACCTCGTCGCGGAGGGCGTCCTCGCGGGCGTCGGTGGACCTGCGGAGCCGCTC